CACACACACACACACACACACACCTCCTACGCCCTTATCTGCACATGATCACACAACAACCGCTTCAAAGCCACACATTCATCAGCCCTCTCTAAACTCCCTCTATCAGATCTCATCATTCTCATGCTAAACAGCCACACAGACTTTGAGCTTGTAAACTACAGCTTGACAGTTAGTAAGGTTAAACACCTGTGTCAGGCTTGATGTGTGCTGTAAAAGGGCCACTGCTCATTGTGAATCTGTGTAAAGTGCTGAGCACATGTAGCCAAACAGGGACCCAAATCTAGTTTGTCTGATGACCATCCTAATGCCAGACTAGTCATGAACAATGTGCCAGAACCATCCCAGCTGGGCTAAGACTAGTCCAAAGCTACTGAATGGACTGAATTCTATGTCCAAATCATTCAGAGTCCACATCCCTGAAACCTGTGCCAAACCTCAAAATATAAATATCCAAAATTGCAACAGATCCAACACTCATTTGGTGCTTCACTGACGAACACAACTGATTGCACCAATGCTCAGAGAAGTCCCATCTCAACCAGAAAGTACAGCCCAACTGCTACTGGAGTTGTATTATTATTATAATTATTGTATGTACAACTCAGAGCAGTATAATAGTTTTGTATTAGCCAAGTGTCATTTCAACATAAAGATTTTCAAAGGGAATGATTAGTAGCTTGATCAACAGAAAATGAACAGGAAAAACAATTTTGATAATCAATGTATTGCTTTAGCGATTCTATAATTCTGCTGCTTCTTCAGCTACAAAACAATATTTTGTTTTACTCTGCAATTATCATTAGATCAAATTCTTTGTTGGTTAACAAAAGAAGACATTTGAAAATTCACTTTTAACTCTAAGAAATATGATGGGCATCATTTCTGCTTCTTTATGTTTAATCGAAAAATAATAGAAAAAAGAAATAGTAAATAATTATAAAATATGGAAAGAGGAAGAAACACCTATAAGTACCTTTTACTTATCTGTTGACTTATGCAGATATCGATCAGCAGTCTGCTAATTATCAGTCAACAGATGGTTCTGCAGGAAACTTTTCACTAGCTGCAGTACAGGTCATAAATCCCTCCTCTGTTAGTGGACGGGACATGAGCAAAAGTAAAAAGTAAAAGTCAAGTATTCATTTTTCCAGTGAATTTGTTTTTGATGCAATAAAAAAAATTGGTTGAACCATCATGATTGGCATCTGACACTGACTCATGATTGGACAGGGCGACACAACCTCGCTGCTGCTCCATGCCGCGATCACTACCGCACAGACTTTAGCTGTGTCCCAATTAAGGGGGCCGACTCCTTCAGAGGACGTGGTCTAACTGGCCAATGAAAGAGGCACCTTTGTGTGCCACGTAGACTGCTATGGCCAAACCAAAATGAAACGGTCTGGTCTAAACAGGAGCCCCTGGATTGAGACAGCTTGACTCTGATGTGAACATCTTTATCATTTTTGGCCATATTACACAGCCCTACATCCAGCATACAACAATGATCATATCAGAAGCTGAAGCAATAGATTCACCTAAAATACTGTACGAGGTAACATTGGGTCTGTCATTATGAGGAAAGACTGCAGTCCTGGTCTTTAACTCAGCTTCTACCAGACCATAACATAGTTTTAATATAATTATACAGCAGCGGTTACTATAGTCCACAGCCACTGGATGCAAATGCACAAAACAGTTGGACTTGTTATTATTTAATGTCTTCCATTTATGAATAATGTTTCTTTCTGACATGTTGTTTATGTGACATCAGGGTTTTAAGCAACTGACAAGTGCAACCCAGATTGATCCCACATAATGCATCATACCTAAGACAAACAATACCACCCATGAGTGTATTACAGCTAGACAACAGCTACACAAGAGAGAAGCACTCTCTTATTAATTGTCCTATTGAGAGGTAAATATTCACACTGTGAAACAATTCTCAAGCAACAATTAGAGAAACACAAAGCATAATGACAATTTGGGGTTTCACAAAGGTCAAAAGAAACCAAGAGGCAAGTTGACATCAGGATTGTTTGGA